TACGCCATCGCCGGCGACTCACGGCAGCCCAGCTCCAGGTTGAGCTGTTGTTCAGCATCTTAGCTGTGGAGGGCAGTGTCACTGGCCCTCATATGTGAGATCTGAACCGGGGCCCTCTGGCATCCCAAGCCAGTTCTTAACCATCGCGCCACTCTGCCGGCCTGTCAAATTCTTTAATTGTCTGTGGCTCCTATGAGTTCACTTACTTATCACCTACTAAGTTCCACACACAATGGTAGGTTCTGAAAATATATAATTTTGATGGGAAAGATAATTTCAATATAATATGGCAAGTTCTATGACAGTGGTTTCTATAAAAACACAAAAGAGTCATTTAAAAAAAAGCACAGGGGTCTGTAAAAACACAAAGTGAAACAGCCTGGAGGTACGGTAGAGAATTTCACAGAAAATGTCTCTGATGAGGTGATACCTAAACTGAAACTTAAAAGGATGAGTAGGTATCAGTCAGGAAAGAAGAAAATGAATATTCTAAGCAAAGAGAATAACAGCATAAACAAAGATAGGGAGCCATGAAACAGTATGCTACGAGAGGGAATTAGTGACAATTCAGTATTACTTACAAATGTTTCAAGGCAAGGAGAGGTGGGAAATAAAGTGTTAAAAATGAAAACAATATAGAGAATGTTTCATAAAGGTCTACTAATCCAGTTTAAAGGATTTTACTTTAACCCTCTTATTGGTCATCTAGAATTAAAAAAATAATTTATTGGTCTGTAAATCCTATAAATCTGAGACTACTACCTTATGTGATATGTAGCCCTGAAGAATTAAGCAGATGAGTTTTTGGCTACCTCATCTTTTATTATAGAAAACAGTTTGATAATGTGAGGTCTCCAAATATTTTCCTGCCTCCCAAAACACTCCTGTTATAAACTGTTAAAACACCAGCAGTTTATTAACGATAAAGTAACCAGAATGTACTTTCAAAACAACAAGCAAAACACCATTTCTGACAGCAAACACTTGCTTCCTTTTATTATAATCTTACCATCAAGTTCTAAAATAAAGAATTTTACCTTGAAACAATGCGGTAGGGATATAGGAGTATGGTGAGTTTACAACCTTGCAATCATACAATCTTATAATTATAATGAAATACTTGTTCTGTGCATATTCTGAAAAGCTTGGCAAGTCTTCTCCCTTTTTCCAAAAACTATGCCACATTATATTTTTTTCACTGTTTAATAATATGTTGCTAGTTCATGAGGTCTGATGTTGCTAGCTGGAAGAAAATCTTACACAAGAGAATAGAATACTCACACAATTATTTCATAATATGTTTTTTCAATTTGATAACCTCAACCTATAATCAAAGAACACTTACCTGCTTTACATTGTATCCTGCTTTTGCACTAGTTTCAATAAACATAACATTCAGCTCTTTGGCTTTCCTCTCTCCCTCCTCAATTGAAACTTGCCTGTAGAAAAAAAACCAAAACAGAAATTATTCTTTTTGAAAGAGGATACTGTGAAGATTATAAACAAAGTTCTGAAAATAACTTTTCTTGATATGGGGGCTGGTTACAGACAAGACTAGTTTGAAAATTCAAGCTGCAATACACTTATAATTTGTGCACTTCTTTGTGTATGTTACACTTAACAAATTTTTAAAGGCATTTTTTAATCATTTGCTTTTACTTGGCTGAGCTCATCCTATAACCTTATTTTAAAAAATTCAATAGCCTATTTTCTCTTAATATTAGATCATAAGTATTTAGCCCTGTGATGAAAAACTTTGTATAAAATAATTTTTATGGCTAGACAATTTGTCAATTTGCTACCATAATTTATGTAACCATTCCCAAACTGTTAGAAATTTAAGTTGTTTTTAAATTCTACACTACTGTGAAAAATGTTGCAATAAACAACTTTGTGCTTAATATTTTGTGCACCGTGGATCATTTCCTTATGTTAGATTTTATCAATTTCTATTAAGTGGCAAAGTGAGTCAAAAGACATATATGTTAAAGTCTCTTGATACACAGTATTAATACTTTAATACTTCTTTTAGAAGGCATTTTGTGATGTATTATAATTAGCAGTGTTGTCTCAAACTGTGAACTCAAATGCAAGATCATCTCATTTATCTTGCTTGGTATTCCTAGTGCCTAATTAGTACATAGGTGCTTAATAAATATGCAAATATCCTAATTAAATGTATCTGAACTATCAGCTGACAAATCCTGCTTCTTACAACACAGAAAACTGAAGCAATGCAAGAGCATTTCTGCAGGCTCCCACCACATATATCCACTGATCTACCTGTGTGTGTGTGCCTTTATATTCTACCTCTAGTCCTGTTACTACGGAGGAACTGTCCTTACTCCTCAAACTTACACCTATGAACTATTTACTACAAATTCCACTCTTCTTGTCTATAAGAAGATATCATTCTAGAGTCACCACTCTCTAAAAACAAGGGCATTCTCTTAATAACAATCCAACTGTTAATGTTTTACTACATCTGCTTGTTTTATTCTCAGTCTCTATGAAGTTATGTATGTAAATTTTTAAAAACACACCCTTTCTCTTAACAATTTGAAAACTGACAATCTGCTGACCTTTAGTCCTAAATACTTTAGCAGTATGAATTTCCTATTCTGACAGATGCCCTGAAACTTACTCCTTAGACCTCTTCCCTATCTACAATTACTCCATTGGTGATCCCACGCAGTCTCGTGCTTTTCAATACAATCTATATGCTGGTGACTCCCAAACTTCTTTATCTAGATTGGACCACTGCTCTGAACTCCATACTCATATATCCAGCTGCTTACCTGACATCTAATTATATATTAGGATATCTAACAGCCATTCTAAACTCAAAATGACCCAAACTGAAATTATGATACTCCATTCCAAACCATCTCTTTATGCAGTCTCTCCTGAATGACAGTTACTCAGGCCAAGAATCTAGGTGTCATCCTTAACTTCTTCTCCCACACCCCATATTCTGTCCAACAGTATGCATTCCATCCATTGTATCAGTATATCCTGACAGTTCTATCTTTAAAATTTATCTGAATTTGACCACTGATTACCACACATGCTTTGCCCTGCATAACCTGGCTTTCATTGGTGTTTTGCTTTGTTTTTAAACCTCATTGCCTACTACTTTTTTCTGTCGTTCTCTTTACCAGCTATATACCGTAGGTTTCCTCGCTGCTCCTCAAATAAGTTAAATGTATTCCCAATTTATGGATTTTGCATTTTCTGAGGCATCTGCTTAGGAGCTTTTCCTCCTCAAAACATCTGCATAGTTAACTCCCTTATTTCCTTAGCATTTTTACTTAAAAATCACCAGTCATCCTCTCAGTGAGGTATTCCACTGCTATGCCATCTAATATTTCAAATTCACCCTGACATTCCACATTCCCTTCCCCTGCTTTATTTTTTATCCTTGCAAGTATCAATATCAAACATGCTATGTACTTTTTGGACTTATTTATTGTCTGGTTCACTCCTTAGAATAAAAGCTCTTTGAAGACTCGTCTTTTTTGTTCACTACTCTAGAGTAGCATCCTCTAAAACATTAAGTGATACTCAATAAATACTTCTTGAATAATTATTAGTCTGTAAACCCTACATGAGGATTCTAGACAGAAACCCTTCCTAGTTTTGGAACTATAAGTCACCCTAATAAAACGGTTGAAAGTTATTAATAGCTATAGCAATGGTCTCAACTGTGGTTTCATTTTGTCAGAATCACCTAGGAACATTCTCTAAAATATAGATGCAGTCTAGATTCTCTAGACTAATAGAATCATAGTATCTAGAAGTCGGATCAAAACCACCCAAATTTAAAAAGTTGACCATGATCCTTCATGCCAGAATCTTAAAAGAGGGTCTACTAAGCCATATTTACGAAGTGATTCTGAGGTTTGAAACATTTGGGAATCAATCACTGGACTATAGGAGAGAGACTACTGAGCACCTGGGTCTTACATTGAGACATTGAAACAGATATACTCTGGTCTTTCCTCTAAGTTTTTACCCATCCCCAGCAAAAGTATTTAATTCTCAAAGAAAGTGGTAAAGACGTTTAAGTTTTCAATTGCTTTTATTAAAACTTTTTTTCTGATTACAAAAGTAATCAATTTTTAAAAAGATTAATCATTACAATAAATTCCTCCATAGTCCATAGTCCTACTCTCTTCCCAAAGATGGCTACAGTTAAATTCCATGTACACATATGTAGATTTGTTCTAAGCAAAAGAATATATATTTTTCTCTGCCATCTTTTTATTCTTTTCACAGGAAGGATGTCATGCTCTGCATACTGATCCAATGTTTTAAGCTTTATGTATTAGACAGCAATAAATTCCTCCCATTCTTTTTAGTGGTTACAAGTATTCATTTAGAAAATGCTACTGCTACCAATGGACATTTAGATTAATTTTAATTTTTTAGTATTACAAATAACATTGCAATAAATATCCTTTTAAGTTCATCTTTTCACATTTCTGTGGGCATATCTGTGGAATAAATTACTGGAGGGGGATGTGAGTTAATGAGTATTTTAAATTCTGATATTATTAAACTGTCACGTCCCCACCCCCGGACTGTATTAGTTACATATTTCAGTGTATGAGAGTTCTTATTTATTCAGACTTTTGAAGATACCGTGTATTATTAATCTCTTGAACAATGGATGATCTAACAGGTGAATATAATCCTTATATTTATGTATTTAAACTTCTCAATCTTTCCCTTTATGGCCTCATGGTTTCCTGTTATGCTTATAAAAGGCCATCCACTACTAAAAGATTTTATTTTAATGGTCTTAAAAACATTTAAAACTTTTATTCATTTTAAAATTATATTAGTGAAATGAACAAGGCTCTAATTCTTTTAAATGTGAATAGCTGAAGGGTGATAGTCTGGCAAAAATTACTGAGAAAGATGGTAATTCCAAAAAAATTTTTGTAAATATAATTAGATAAGTTTGTAGCATTTGTGTATTCAATTGAAATATTATCCAACAAAAGAACAGATGCTAAATATATCTAAAAACTGGCTATAAAGGGAAACAATTCAGATATACAATTTTTCTATTTAAAAATGAAGGTACTTGGGGACTCTCTAATAGAAGAATATATGCCTACATGATCTTCAAATTCTCATACTGGATATAAATAAAATAGTGAAAATTTATATGATGGCAACTGATGTCCCAAAAATTATTTTTATAAAGAAAAGATGAGGGCCGGCCAAGTGGCACGTTGGTTAAGAGCCGGCTTGGGACGCCAGCTCTGAGCAGCAGGGCCCCGGTTCGGATCCCACATGAGGGCCAGTGACACTGCCCTCTACAGCTAAGATGGTGAACAACGGNCAACATGGGCCAGTGAAGCAACGTCCTCCACAACTAGACTGAAGAACAAAACGACAGCAACTTGTCTGTTGCCTTTCCCCTGATTCCCTCGTGCTGTTTCCCTCCCCCAATTCCCCAATAAAATCTTAAAAAAAAAAAAAAAAAGATTAAAAGACAAATATTCTTCCATTTTTGGCCATTTAAATAATTAAGTTTTTTTAATGCTACCCTATTTGATTAGTTCTTAGGCTCCTTTATAAAAACTAATTCAAGGAATAGACAACCCCTAAAAAATATGTGATGCATTTCTTAGCTAATACTAAAAATCAGCCAGTAATTTCTCCACATGACAGAAATATATTCTATATAATTAATCACTGACAGTTAAAAGGGGAAGATTTTAACCTATTATTTAAATGTGCTTATTAACGTAAGATTTTAATTCTTTTCTGGTTTCAGTCTCTCATTCTGGGGGGGGGGTACTGGATTTTCTTCCTTAACTAAATTATATGAGCTGACAAAGCATGCGTCTCTAAATATTGAAATGAAATTCTAATATACTATGCTACTCTGTGGCACTCTCTACACAATGAAAAGTAATGGTATTATGTGAGTTAAGAAGGAAAATATAAAAAAGTTAAAAGGCAGATCTATTCTGAAATTTGAAAACAGTAATTTTGGTCATATTTATATTTAAAAGATAATCAAATCAAGTCCCCCAAAATCAGGAACTTCAGCAAAATCCCATGTTCAGACATACCATCTAAATAAGAAAAAATTAATAAAGTTTTGAATTTAGGATAAGATTATTTTATAAAAGAAGTCTCTTCATTATCATTGGCTAGTTATATCAATCTGTACAGGTCAGGCTTTTGAAAAAATTATGTGCCTAGTGATGAAATGTTTAAAAATCAAATTGTGGTGATGGTTATACAATGCTGTAAATTCACTAAAAATAACTAAAAATAACTTAATCACTTGCTTAAGACAAGTGAATTTTGTGGTATGAAAATTATAATTGAAAAAGCTGTTAAAAAATAATGTGTTTATAAAATAGCAAACGAATGACATACCCCATCTTCTCAACATCCTAAGAGTTACCTAAACTTGGAAGGAATTAAATGTCATGAAGATACTAGCTATCATTAGTGCCTACTGTATGCTGACAATTTTAGAGCTTCCAAATCTGAGACTACTTAGGGTTTGGCCTAGGGGGGCCAACTCAGTAATCCCTTCTTTAGACATTAACGCAGACCAAAGTATGTCCCATAGGAGGCAATACTTTGACANAAGCGATGTCCTCCACAACTAGACTGAAGAACAAAATGACAGCAACTTGTCTGTTCCCCTTCCCCGATTCCCCAACACTGTTCCCCTCCCCCAATTCTCCAATAAAATCTTTAAAAAAAAAAAAACAAAGACAGCCCAAAATAATTTTTAATGACTATAAACAGAAATTGGCATTTTTCACATCTCACTGCCAACACATAATAAATGTATTTAAAATCAGTACAAAGTCAGACTTTATGATACAATGTACAACAGACCCTTCCACAGCACTATCCTAGTTTTGGGACATCATTTACACAACTGAACTCATAAAGATCAAAATTAACTTGAAAAACATAACCTGTTGCTGCTTTTTAGTTAATTTTATTCCAAGCAGAGCTCCTATGGCAAAGAAGTCAATCAGCCACAAGAATTAAGCCAACAACAGGAAGATCTGAAAGAACGTCTGGTAAAGTAAAACATCATCAGCTATTCCAGCATCTTGAACGCTACTGAACACAAAACTAATTCACACCTTCATGAAAGACAGATAAGACATTAGTGCTGCCTCTTGGTCATCTCCTTTATGGAAATGCAGAAGACATTATCTGTAGAAGAAACCAAATGTTAAAGAATTTTTCCATGTACCTTAATTTCAGCTTCACATTATTTGAGTGTTAATTCATTGATTTTTGGGGTCCTACTTTGTAAAAAACAAATTAAACTGGGTACTTTTACTGTGGGAGCTGACAATTCAAGACTGAACAACGGCTTACCCAAATACATCCGTGTCACGATAATGTTAACGTTAATTTGGATGCTCTCCACTCAGAATGCTGCTTATATGCCCCAATAGCAATTTTATAAAATATAAGCTTTAACTTAGAGATTAAGAATGTATCTGATAACTACCATCTTTCTGGACAAGTTCATTAAAGTGTCTAAAACCCAGTGTTTTAGCTATGCCATCCTAAACATATGTTGTCAATTTATAACAGCCTTTGGAATAAAACATCCTCTAAATTCAAAGTAATCTCAAAGTTTACTCCAAGCAATATATCTTCCTCAAATAAAAAAATGAATCTACCCCCACTGTAGAAATCTTTGAGATTATTTATGTTAAGTTGAACCACATAAAACTGTAAAATTGCCAATGTTCTATCATTTTTGAATTATAAACATAGCAACATAATACGGGTGAAACTAGTATACTTGAAATTGTTAGAAAAATCTGTGGATTTATAATTGAAAAAATGAAAAACATCGTGAAAAACAAGAGTAACTTATGAGAATCATTTCCAAACTCTAGCTAAAAAGAACAGTTTCCCAGGTAACTTAGTTTATTTGCTTCACTTTGAAATAATACCTAAATTTTGGCCAATTAAACATTCTTCTGGCCAGTTTCCTCTTTTTAAAATGAAATGAATTCAATGCAAAAAAAATCAGGGCCGGCCGAGTGGCGCGATGGTTAAGAACTGGCTTGGGACNAGCCCAGCTCCAGGTTGAGCTGTTGTTCTGCATCTTAGCTGTAGAGGGCAGTGTCACTGGCCCTCATATGTGGGATCTGAACTGGGGCCCTCTGGCGTCCCAAGCCAGCTCTTAACCAACGCGCCACTCGGCTGGCCCAGTAACAGGTTGCTTTTAACAAAGAAATCAAACATTCCATACACATACAAAATCACTCCATACCTTTTATCAGCAAGATCTGTTTTATTTCCTACTAGCATGATGATAACATCACTTCCTCTTTCTGTTCTGACATCATCAATCCATTTTGTAGTTTGCTGGAATGAGTTAACATCTGGTATAAGGGGGTGGACAAAGAGATTAGTGTTATTGCAAATACTTCCCCAGGTGATGGACCAAAAACAGAAAAAAAGAAAGAAAAAAAAGAGAGAGAAAAAAAGCCCTGGAAGTTGGAAGGGGGCTGGCACATTAGGGTCCACTTTTAATGTGCCTGCAACATAACTCCATTTTATCTGAGTACAACTGTCAGCGGTCTAAACAAATCACAAGAAAAATCCTCGAGGTTCCTTTTATAGTAGTTTAAAATTTTTGGACATGACCAAATGAGTGCAATGTACTATATGTAATAGAAAAAACAATTTTTTTTTAATGTAAGGACAGCTATGGCAGATAATATGGTGTCACATTGCCACAATGCTTTTTTGATTACTTACACATACCAAACATGACAGAGAAAGCATCTCCAAAAGTATGTCAGCCAGTAAGTCCCAACACATCCAGAAAATTTATAAAGCCCTTAAATAGCTTTCAACAACACTGTTTGCACTGCTTATTCAGTTTGTGATCACTTTAACTTGAAGTTTATTAGTTTAATACAGCACCAGAGTCACTTGTGAAAAAAATCCATCTTTTCTAGCATTTGATTCTCAGTAGACTATTTCAATATTTTTATAGCAGCTAAAGAAAACAGTTTACTAATATTTTAAGCACATGTGCACAATTTTTAAAGAAAAATACACAAGGTTTCCCTTGATTTGGTTAAAGTAAGCACAAACATTTTAAAGCTGCAAAACTTGTCAATGCACATGAACATTTTCAACAAGTAAAAACCCAAAGTAAAGCTTCAAGAAAATATTGCATACAGCACCTAACCAAAAAAAGTAAGAAAAAAAAGTCTCTGAATGCAAACTTGTAACTTATAATTCTGCCATTGCAATTATTAAGTAGATATAACTTCTGGTTGAGCAGATATGCAAAAAACGTATAGTAACAGCACTACTTGTTCAAATCAATAGTTTGTTGATGTTTTTAAAGAAGTCCAAGATGTGGTACTATCCTAATTTTCCTATAAATTATGGACAACTATATGGAAAAAATGCTTAATATTGCCTAATACGTATGTCATAAGCCAATTTACAAAAGCAATTTTAATTTAGAGAGTATTTCCCTATCAATCACCAATGCTCCATGGAAAATTTAGTCTCTTAAAACACCAAAGGCATTATTGAGTCTTTAGGGAAAAGAAAAAGAAAGACCATTACTTTAGTCTTCCATTAAAAATTTGTTTTGGAGACAAATGAAAGTGTAATTTGTTAGCAACAAAGCAAGTCAGTCAGTCACAGAATCCAGATGATTCAAATGAAAATGATTAATAGAAGACTGCACGTTATGTTTTCTCTGCCTTCCTCTATTGAGAGAGGATGGCTGGAAGAGGAAAGCAGAGAAAAGTTGGCTAGCAGAAGTTTTTAATAGCCTTAACAGAAGCCTCGTATGATTTGGAAAACCAGGCAAGAGACTTAAATGCAGATTATTTTATTTTAGAGAAATCTGAGATCAAGTTAAATTAAAAAGGAGACATTCTTCCAAACGTAATTAAGGTGTGGCTTAGGGATAACAGGATACTAAGAAAGCCTTGGAGAGGATTCATAATTGAACCCGAAGGAAAATTTCCTGGGCAAAAAAACCTGGCGCATTGGAAATAAAGCATATTGGTACAAACACCAAAGCAAATGTTTCTGACCTAGCTTGTCTGTGATAAGGTTTGCTATGATAAAACTCATTTTTACATGCCAGTATGGAAAACAAGCACAAGACAAGAACATGCATGCAGCTAAGCTAAAGGTTGAAAGAAGATTAGAAATGCATAAATTCCCCCCACTCACTTGTGATATCATAAACAACAACTGCCACAGTGGAGTCACGAATGTAGCTAGGAATCAAGCTCCTGAACCGCTCTTGACCTGCTGTGTCCCATAATTGCAATCGTACCTAACAACAAAATCAGTCAAACAAGCAAGAAAAATAAGAAAGGTCAACGTGTTGCAAAATACCTACTTGTGATATCGTAAACTACTACGGCTGCAGCAGAATCACGGATGTAACTGGGAATGAGGCTACGGAAACGTTCCTGACCCGCAGTATCCCACAGCTGCAGCCTTATCTGTGGGATGGGAGAAAATGAATAAAAAAAAAAAAAAAAAAAAAACCCACTCAAAACTCATACTAAAAAGAAAAAAGAAATAATGTTTTTTAAAGGGGGAGGGTGGAAAAGAGGTAAAAAGGAGATTCATGCAAAAGGTTGCAGGGATGTGAAGAATGAAAACACAAAACTTTCCTTTTTCAAAAAGGAGTAATATAAAAAATTTGCTTGCTCTGAAGGTACATGACTTAAAAATGGCAACGGGAAAGATTTCACAGAACCAGAAATACAGCTTCTTCCCCCCTGCCCTCCGCTCCCCCCGCCCAATAACCTCTCTCTGATTCCTATCCCTTCCAGATAGCAAATAGTAGACTTTTTTGATGTTTAAATAGTAAGCATAAAAGGGAAAAATGAAGGTAAATGTCAACGAACAGCCCAGGCTAGCAGAGTAAAGGAATTATTTTAATACTTCTCTGAAGCTAAAATGTGTCTCTTTTCTATTGGGTCCAGAACACTTTGAAATTGGGTCTCTGACTACAGGTACTTATGTTTCTCCCACATACTTCTTCCCAGAGCATTGTACAGAATCTAACAAAAAGAAGGAATATCTTTTTGTAACCCTACATAAAAATTTTCTTACTTTTTCACATTTGAGGAAGAAAAGCCTGAAAACAAGCTCTTTGACCATTATAAAGTTGTTTCCAAGCTTTCAAATGTTAAGAAATGGCATTTTACATATTAAAACATAAAAGAGAACAGCCAAAAGAAAAAACTCAAACACTTATAAGAAACAGCATTAAATATAAGATAATGTTTTTTTGGGTATAGGTCCTTTATATTACATTTAAGATAATCACTGTTTAAGTGATAGAAATCTCTTCAACAGATAGTGGGCTAAAATAAAGAATTTATATTGTACTTTAAGGGAGCATTCTAAAAAGATGGAAGACAAAATCCAACAAATACACATTACTTCTTTCTATTCACCGTCACTTTCATATACACCATATTCTGATAAAATCTTGAAGTTCACAAATTGCATCATATTCAAAAGAAATCTTTCTAAATACCTCAAGAGTGGCATTCAAAATGTCTTTAGCAGCTCTAATTTTTTTTTTTAGCTGAGCCATCTTGCTACCTGTTGGCAACACGCAGCTCTAATTTTTTTCATGAAAATACCCATTTAATTATCTCAATGCTATTTGTTATCATTTGTCCAAATCAACATGACAACAGCTTAGGGCCTTTGGGGTTTTCTAAGTAACTCGGCTTTCTCTCCCTTTGAATTTCACTTGGAGATAAGGAGTAAGAGTGCTAAGTACTACTCACTCTGTAATAACTTATCTCAAGGTCTGTAAACTAACTTTGGCAACTTTGCTAAGTACTTCTTAGAGAGATGATCATTGTTTATAGCTTTGATCATAGTTTTTTATCCCGGACTGCTGAAGAAAATTGCATATGGAAAACATTACTCACTGTTCGATCCTCCAAGTACATTGTTTTTGATAAAAAGTCAATACCAATTGTTGCCTGTAAACCAAAACAAAGCAAAGGAGTTAAAAAAATTAATAGTTTAACAGCAATTAGCAGTTAGGGTTCATATGGAAATTATGACTGTGTAAGGAATAATGAATAACACGTAAATAAAACATGTCAAGTAAGAATGAACAAAATTTTCAGTGACAATGGCGTCCACCTATTGAGCACCTGCTGTGTATTAAGAGATTCTTTTAGGCCCTTCACATGATCATCTTTAATCCTCACACATCGCTGCAAGGTAGCTATCATCATCCCTATTTTTCTCATTGTATAGATAACGATACTGGGGCTCGGAGAAGTTAAATAACTTACCTAAGGACACAAAGCTTCTGCTGTGTAGTCGGGAGTAAAAGTCTAGCTCTTCCAATATACTTGTATACTGATAGATATAGTAACTTTTTTTTTTTAAAGATTTTTATTGGGGAATTTGGGGATGGGAACAGCGCTGGGGAATTGGGGGAAGGGGAGCAGACAAGTTGCTGTTCTTTTGTTCTTCAGTCTAGTTGTGGAAGATGTTGCTTCACTGGCCCAAGTTGGCACCATCATTGCGCTCTTCCCGGGCGAAGCAGAACAGTCACCGGCTTCTGGACGGCCGCTAGTAGCTCACGCTGGCTGCGGGCTACACACGGTAGCCCATGGCAACCCCACTGCAGCAGGGGTTGCAGCCTACACCGTCGCCGGCGACTCATGGCAGCCCAGCTCCAGGTTGAGCTGTTGTTCAGCATCTTAGCTGTAGAGGGCAGTGTCACTGGCCCTCATATGTGGGATCTGAACTGGGGCCCTCTGGCGTCCCAAGCCAGCTCTTAACCAACACTCCACTCGGCCAGCCCAGAAACCATTTTTTAAAAAGATTATTTTGTTTAGAGCAGTTTTAGGTTCACAGCAAAACTAAGAGGAAGGTACAGAAATTTCCCATATAACTCTTATCCCCACATATACATAGCTTCCCCTTTATCAACATCCTCTACCAAAGTGGTTCATATGTTGTAGCTGATGAACCTTGGCACTGATATATTTTTTAAGATAGGTTTTATTTTTAAATTTTTTTTATTAGTTTCAGGTATACAAAACAATGCAATAGACATTTACACCCCTCACAAAGTGATAACTCCCTCCTCCAATCTACTACCCCTCTGATATCAGATATACCTATAAAAATTCCATTGACTATGTTCCCTATGCTGTACTCCACATCCCGTGACTATAAAATTATAAATATATATTATATATATACATATATATAATATATATATATATAAAATTATAGTTGACATTCAATATTATTCAGCTTCAGCTTCAGGTGTACAGTGCAGTGGTCAGACATCTACATAGTCCATGAAGTGGTCTCCCTAATAATACAAGTGCCCTTCTGACCCCCAACAAAATCTTTACAACATTATTGATTATATTCCCAAACTGTATTTCATATCTCCATGACTATATTGTGATTACTAATTTGTACTTTCTAACCCCTTGACTTTCTCTCCCATCCCTATCCCCCTTCCACCTAGCAATCCTTAGGGTTATTTTTTTCCCTATATCTCTGAGTCTATCTCTGTTTTGTTTGTTTGTTTACTGTTCTTTAGATTCCACATATAAGTGAGATGATATGGTATTTGTCTTTCTCCATCTGACTTATTTCATTTAGCATAATATTCTCTAGGTCCATCCATGTCGTTGCAAATGGTAATATTTCATTCTTCTTTATGGCCGAGTAATACTCCATTGTATAATTATACCACAGTTTCTTTATCCAATCGTTTATGAATGGGCATTTGGGTTGTTTCCATATCTTGGTTATTGTGAATAATGCTGCAACAAACATAAAGGTGCATATATTTTTTTTAATTAGTGTTTTGGATTTCTTTGATAGATACCCAGGAGTGAACTGCTAGGTCATAAGGTAGGTTTTATTTTTAAAGTGTGGTAATATATTTTTCAAAAAATTTGACATTTTAACCATTTTTAAGTGTATCTTTCATTCAATGGCATTAATTACATTCACAGTGATTGTATAACAGTCAACACTATTTACGAAACCTCTTCATCACCCCAAACTGAAACTCTGTATGCATTAAGCAATAACATATTGCAATGTATGGATAGACCACAATTTGTTTATCCATTCATCTAACTGATGGACATTTGGGTTGTTTCTACATTTTGGTTACTGTTTTCAATTCTTGTCTATACCTAAGAGTGGAACTGCTGGGCCATAAGGTAATTCTATTTAATTTTGAGAGGAAATGTCAGACTTCCACAGAGGCTGCACTATTTTAAATTCCCATTAGCAATGCATGAGGGTTCAAATTTTTCCACAGCCTCGCTAACATTTGTTACTTTCCATTTTTTATATATCATAGCCACCTTAATAGGTATGAAGTGGAATCTTACTGTGGTTTTGATTTTGCAATTCTCTAATGACTAATGATGTTGAGCATCTTTTCATGTACTTATTGGTTATCTGTATATCCTTCTCTGGAGAAATGTCTATTCAAGTCCTTTGCCCAGTTTAAACTGAGTTTGTCATTTCTGTTATTGATTTCTAGGATTTCTTCATTCTGGATATTAAACATCTATCAGATATGTAACTTTGAAATATTTCCTCCCATTCTGTATGTAGATTGGGCCTGGCAAGCCTTTATTCAAAATCCATTTTCAATAGACATACGGATTTATTTATGGGTTCTCAATTATAGTCCATTGGTCTATATGTCTATCCTTGTGCCAGGACCACATTATTTTGATCACTGTAGCTTTGTATTAAGTTTTTAAATCTGGAAGTTTTGAGTCTACCAACTTTTTTTTTCTTTTTCAAGACTGTTCTGGCTACTGCAAATTAGGATTGGTTTTTTTATTTCTACAAAAATAGCAGCAGGAATTTTGATAGGAATTGCACTGAATCTGTAGATTGCTTTGGGTAGTTGCTATTGACATCTTAATACTGTCTTCCAATCTATTTACTTAGGATGTCTCTCCACTTATTTAAGTCTTCTTTACTTTTTTTTTTTAGCAGTGTTTTATAGGTTTCAGTTGCACACAGGCTTTTGTAAAAGAGAGAGAGAGAGAGAGAGAGAGAGAGAGAGAGAGAGAGAGAGA